TGGACACTTGATCTCTAATAATTATTGATTGACGACAGTTTTCAAGGTATGATCTAAACCAGTTCAGCATCTTGTGATCAGTCTCCCGTCTCAGACGATTTTCCGTCTATGAATTCGGCTAGTGTGAGTCAAAGAAGGGCAACCTTGAAAGGAAAGAACATAAAGAAGAAACGTTGACAAAAAAGACCACGTCATTACACCGAACATAGTTAATCCTCTATTGACTATCCACCGAATCGAAAGATGGCGTCCAATTTTAATTACCATTGTTCTGGGCTTACTAGCCTCTCACACAAGTGATAATCCATTTGTGTTTCCACGTGAAGACGAGGCTAGTGTGTCCAAAACAATGGCGATTAAAATTGGACGCCTTATCAGTTTCGATTCGGCGTATATTTTCTTGGAAAATTTTAGAGGAAAATCCGATAGGTAAGCTCAAACGTCGAACTTCACTTGGGAAAAACTAAGTTTGACGTTTGAATTAGTTGGTTTCGTCCAATTGAAGTTGGGTCGACCAACACCGCTCTGTCCGTTTGCTTCGGAAGGATTTATCGTGTGCAGATGGACCGTGGGACAAAACCTCGATCTTTTTCAGGAAACGTACTTGATGAGTAAATTAATAATTGCTTTATGTAAAATCCCTTTGACTAAAATATTTGTTTTTGCTGCTTTGAATTTGGTCGACGAATTATGTTCGACATTTGACCCAACGTACGGTCGAACTTCACCTTAATTGCGATCTAGTTCGTCTCAAGTGAAGTTCAACATTTGAACTTGACCTAACAGCAGATATTCCATATTTCTGTTACCACAAAGACCACTGATTTTAACATCAAGGTTATAACATGTCATTGCATGCGTTTTTAGTGGCCAAAACTTGGCGACTTGTTTCTTCTGTAAGTCTGTTTCGCTTTTTGCTTGTTTTTGGTTAACTTACCAATACCCTTTGGCATTTCTCTGAAATACACCTATTTGCAATAACGATGTCATGGAAAAAAGCAACAACAAATAAAAGGGAAATGGTCAGATAGGGATTGGAAAAAAAACCAACCCTCGGCTATATGCCCAGCAGTCGAACAATTTTCACAGAACTTCCCCTTATTTTCTGACAATTTTTTTGAGTATCAGATGTTGTTTAGAATAAAAATGTACTAATATGCCGTATGCTTGTGCTATATGCCAATTAATATGAATTTGGGTTTTTCCTATTTTATATATCAGCGTTTTTCTCAGTATGACAACGTTACTGCTATTAGGTGAATATGGAGAGGCATAATTCCAAGGTTTCTATATATTTAAACGAACTTTCCGCCTCGTGAAACGACTCAAAATATCACGACATAAAGCCCAGTCAGGTGACTGATCCGTAATTTTCTCCTTTGGGCTATGTATGCAACCTCGTTCCCAGGGCGCTTTGTCTTCAAAGAGGGGATGGCCACGTCACAGCCTACATTATTACACCCGGAGTCTTTCAGGTGTTGGATGCGCATGTGACCGGCCGATTCCAGGCCTTTTCCCGCCCGTCCCCTTTTTGAAGGGAAAAGCGCTTCGGGGACCGTATTCAATAGCTCTCCCTCTCCTTAAGCCACTATCAATGGGTTAGGGTTAGGGTTAGAGTTAGATGGATTCAACTGCCTTTAAAATGTTCATCCTTGAAAACTGGCCATCAGATTAATTTAAAGACCATACTTCAGACATCTTAAACACGTGTTTTGAAACTTTGAGGATTTTCCTTTAGAAATGGTAAAAAAAAATGTTTTCTGTTGAATTTAAGGTGTCGAAAATGGTGAAAAAGGTATCGCCGTTTATGTCACAAAATAGTATTGACAAGAGATTCAATTTTGCATGAAACTAAGATCTATGCTCACTTTCTAGCTTACACATTATTCAAAACTATATCAAAGCCTGTCACATTTCACGTTTCCTAAATAAATAAATTGGTAAATTTAGGAGCTTTTCAGCCACAATGTAAACTAAATAAGTGCTTAAAAGTCCCCACTGGCAGGAGGCAGACCAGCGGGCTATTTACAGAGCGCAGCCGAGGAGTTGAACTAGGGGCAACCGAGAACAAATCCACCAAGTGAGAAGGGGGGGGGGTTGAGGTTTTGAACCCGGGACAACGGATTACAAGTCCTAACCACTCGGCCACGCCTCTCTTCTTGAATGAACATTAAATAGAGTGATCTTCATTCACCAATTGTATCACGAGTGAGCCACGTGGACTGCACCGGTTGATCGGTGCAGCAGCTATTCAGCCACGCCATTGCAGAGTCGACATACTGCAACCGGCCCTCGCGGTAATTCCTATACAAAAACGCGCCAAAAAGAACGACCGCAACCGAAACTGGCGCGAAAATTCCCAGCGCACCCTTCGTGTTCACACAAATGCACACGCTGAAAACCACCTCAGCCAGCAAAAGAAACAGTAAGAAAACCCGATAAGAGGACGGAATATCGCGCAATCTAGCAAGAGATTCGAAATTCGGTCCCACAAATGTGCAAACGGAGGCCATTTCGTCCACTGATCCTCGGTCGACTTCTTCCACTGAGCTTTCCTCGTCAGCCGTCAGGGGAACTTGTTCGCAGTCATTCACTTCCAGTGCATCCTCGTCCGGACTCCTGTGGTTGCTGTATGTTTTCGGTTGAAGCTTAAGGTACCATATAACCTTTTATACCCAAAAAAAAAACATGATTGACGTCATTTCTACTTTTAGCTCAACAAGAGACTGTCTCGTGATGAGGATAACGGTGAAATGTCTGCCCATGTGCACCCGTTGAAATGACTAGGTTGTGTGCTTCCACAAACAAGTTGTTTCACACGAATTACCAACAACTACTAGTCAAGCCAGTAAGTTACGGTGTTTTGAAAGCGTAGAAATTTTATAGTAAAGCTCCAAACAAAATGGAAATCAGCAACGTACCCTTACTTGAATAAGCTTTGTGTTCACAAAATTTTGAGTTTCCGTTTTCGCTACTTTTGCTTTGTTTTGTTGTTTCTTTTTGTTTTTGTTTTCATATGGCTTGTAGCCATTTCTTTTTTTATCAAATGTTCTTTTTTTTCCTAAATTGATTCACTTATTTTTAAAACTCTTCATAATATATGCATTTTCATTCCGCATAATTACCTGTATTCCATTGATAAAAGCCGTGGTACTTGAAAAATAAATCATGACAACATTTTGTAGTGGTAAAAGCAGAAGATAAGTTGCCAAGAAATCAGTGGTTTTACCAACAAGTGTAAGTTCAACCGAGACTGGGGACTGACCATCCGTTGTGCGAAGACGCATATTCAAGATAATCTAGAATTAAACAATAAATTTCATTTTAAACAACGTGAAATTGTCATGTAGGTATGGTCTCTTAACCTCTATCTCACCCTACCCCCCTACACACCCCCTCCTTAACCCCCCCTACACCCCTCCTTAACTTGCCCTCCACTCCTAGGGTTTGATTGACATGTACAACACATCTGCAGTGGTGGATCTAGGGGAGGGGCACGGGGGGCCTGCCAGCCCTCTTATTTTGGGTAAAAAAATAAATGCAGATAGAAGAGCTGGCAGGTGAACACACAAAAAAAATAGGCCCTCCTTAGGTGAAGGTCTGCATCCACCACTGATCTGTGATGGGAAGTGTATCCTGTGAGTGAGAGTGAAAATCCATGAAAAAACAATGTGTGTATTCACTACTTTTCAGGGTTGATTTCTGCTATTTCTTGCATCTCCTCTTCAATCCTCCCTGAGATTTTCCAAGATGAAACTAAGGTGTAAATAGAATAAATTTAGGGCTCTGTTTGGGGTGGAACAGAATGAAAAGGGAGAAGTGAGTACAAAATGTGTAATGAGGTGTAATGAAGCCAGTTGCCAATGTTTAAATGCACCCACAGTAAGGCTAAGTTACAGATGGGCCTGGGTGCCACAGCTAACAAATTTGTGTCTTAGATGGACAACTGGTATTGCTGTTTCTATGCTGAGCTCCAGAACCCTCAGATACCTAATGAATTTTCTGAAAAGGTCAACAAATTTAATGTGAAAATGAATATCTTACATCAACATTCTCTATCATGGTATAGTAGCCTGTAACTCAAACCCTCAACTCTTAAGATCAAGTTGTTACTCTTTCTTAACTGCTACACATTTCCTGGCAAATTAGTTACAAGAATTTGGTGTTGAATCAAGATTGCCACTTCTACCAGAAAAGTTTGAGTATTAATATTAATATTAGCTGTTTGCCAGACAATGTATGGATATTATAAGGAGACGTTATACATTAATCACTTCTGGAGGTTTAAGCACTAATATATTTTAATTTTGATTACATTGGTTGAGGCATTCATTTTGAATGTAAAATTTTTATTAGCTGGTTTAATTACAGAGGCAGAATTTCTATATGATTGCTCTGACAACAATCTCAGTAGGAATAACCTTGTAAGTTGTTGAAAAATTATAGTAATTAATTCACTTTCAGCTAAAAGCCACCCTATGCCTTATGATGGATAAATTATCAGAAAATAATTTTTGCATGAGGTGTAGGGTGAGCTGAAAGATGACTGGCAGCACCCCCGAAGGGTAGCAGGGTGGGAAAATTTGCAGACACTGCTGTGTCAGTAGACTGACAAGAAGACACAAATTTTGCATGCAATAAAAGGTTTTGAGAATTTCCCTGTGGGGACTTAAATTTACAGCCAATAGAATTTCTACCACAAGAGCACAGAGTTATCTGATTTACACGTGGGGTAATAGATGGCATGGTAAAATGCCTGTCATGCCCATGGATTTTCAGGAAGTGGTTATATAGATAAAAACACAGTAGTATTCTATAGCCTATATTGTAAAATTTCTCAATGCTTATTAACTTTAAGACTTCGCTTAAAAAATTCCCCATTAACAGAAAACTAAATTAAATTTGCCCATCCATAATTAGCAAATCTATCTTCTACATCATGTGAGGAACCCAGGTTTGATAAGCTTCTAGCTTCAGGTGGGCTTCCTTATCACACTTTTTGAAAAGGATCCTAAATTGTAATTTTATATGGATTAAGTATAAATTGCTGTACAATGATATTATTAACAGTTATTATTTCAGATTGTTGTCAACAACTGCAATTTATTGAATATTAGGTGTGTGTGTAAGTGGAATTAAATATATAAAATAAATGAATAAACTTTGAAAGGATTATTTTGCAAAACTGTAACTACTGAATTTGTGTTCCAGTTGAATGC